TCTTTTTCCTCCAGTTATCTCGTGACAGTAATATTTTATTTAGCTACTGTTATCAGGATATTGGAAATTTTATGTTTTTTTCAGCTAGCCTGTTTGTCAGAGTCTTTAAGCACTGAAATTTAAAATCATTTTTAAGGGAAATACTTGTAAAGTATATTAAATATTCCCTTCCCTCGGGTGTGGCAGCTGTAATCTCTTCTTGGTGACAAAGGGTCATGTGTGTGCACATTAGCTTATGGGCTGTGACACTCAGGGGCTGCATTCCTTACCTTTACACCAAACCATTCAGGTTCATTTCCCTTTTGAATATTTAGGGCTGCTTTTTCCATGTGACTGGGTCTCAAGCCTGTTTCTTTTCCGTGTTGTTGTAACATGCAAGCTTCTACCATGGCTTCTGCTACTATGGGGTGGGAAACTAGATAGAAAATGTTCTTAGTAAATAGGTTCTAAGTGGGGATTTGAGAGGCTTTTCCACTAGAATCTATAGGTTAAAGATGCACATTTTAATGTATAGACATGGTGACATCTCTAACAAATACTCAGAGAATTTCAGTTATTTAAGTGTCGATAGGTATTATGCTATGTTCTGAATAGCTGGACTTTCAAGAAAGATAACTTCTTTTAAAATTAGATACAGCTTAATTTGGAATGTGATCATTTCATAAATTATCAACTGCTTAAAGTCATTTATGTCTAGAAAATTCATTTCATTGAATTACGAGTTAGTAGTACTTTGTTGTCATTACCAACATCTACAGTTAACTTCGAGATTTTATTATTGGGCAGACAAATAATATTGGATCAGTATGATAGACAGGTACTCTTTTAAGTCTTATTTTATTATATTATTATTATTATTTGAGATAGTGTCTTGCTTTGTCACCCAGGCTGAAGTGCCCTGGTACAATCTCAGCTCACTACAATCCCTACATCCTGAGTTCAAGTAATTTTTCTGCCTCAGCCTCCTGAGTAGCCGAGATTACAGGCATGTGTCATCACACCCACCTAATTTTGGGATTTTTAGTAGAGACAGCCTTTCACCATGTTGGCCAGGCTGGTCAAGGAGTGATCACTTGAGATCACTTCTGATCTCAAGTGATCTGCCAGCCTGGGCCTCCCAAGTACTAGGATTACAGGTGTTAGCCACCATGCTGGCCTTAAGTCTTATTTTAACCTTAATTTTAAACTGCTTTGTGATGTTAACAAATAGAAAAATATATTTGTGTTCTTACTGTTTTGTTTTTTCTTCTCAAGGAGGTGCTGGTAATAATTGAGTATAAGTAACCTATAAACTGCATAGTGAATTTGTGTATAATTGGGTTTACTATGAACTTTAGTTCTACACAATGCTTGATTCAACTCTCTCATAGCTGTGTTTCTGAATTTTCCAACATACCCATACTTTATGTTGTCCTTTTCATACCTAGCTTGCTTTCTCTTCTTGTCTCTCTCTAGCTCCTGATCTTGGTTTGGAGCTAGTCTCTCTATTTAATTGTTATAATTAAAGCCCAAGCAATTTCTTACACATTCAAGTAGCAATTAAGAGTTAAAACCTGTTTCTCTCTTGCCCATCCTTATTATTTATGGTATGTATTTTACTCAGAGAAAACACTGAACTTTTTTTTTTTTTAACAGAACAAAGTGTTTTTTGGGGAAATTCTTAAGATGCAAATGGCTTATAATTCATTAAGGAGCATCAGGAAATTGAGCTAAATGTTAGAGTCAAAAATATAGCTTGGTAGAATGTGGCAGAGCAGTTGACTCAAAAAGACAGTTTGGCAGTTTTCCCAACTTAGCTGAATTTTTTTTGTTTTTTTGTTTTTTTGTTTTTTGTTTTGTTTTGTTTTGTTTTTTGAGACGGAGTTTCGCTCTTGTTACCCAGGCTGGAGTGCAATGGCGCGATCTCGGCTCACCGCAACCTCTCCTCCTGGGTTCAAGCAATTCTCCTGCCTCAGCCTCCTGAGAAGCTAGGATTACAGGCACATGCCACCATGCCCAGCTAATTTTTGTATTTTTTAGTAGAGACGGGGTTTCACCATGTTGACCAGGATGGTCTTGATCTCTCGACCTCGTGATCCACCCACCTCGGCCTCCCAAAGTGCTGGGATTACAGGCTTGAGCCACCGTGCCCGGCCTCAGCTGAAAATTTTAAAGCTCCTTTTTAACTCATGAAATAAGCAATTTTAATAATTTGTTGAACAGGCCAATAAAATTAATTCTTAAATAATGTAGTTTTTAAGAAATTATTTTATTTTTCGTAATGGTATATTGGTTCAGATACTCATTTGTCAAACTGTGATTGTAGTTGCCTGATAATGAGAGCTTGTAATTATCATTCAGTGCTCCTCGCTGGTTCCCATTAAGCATCTCTCCTCTATGGAATAAATATACTGAGACACTAAACTAGTGGGAAAGGAATTCTCCTTTACTGTGTTTGAAATTTTTTAAAGTATAAAGTAATATGAGCTCTAATCCACTGTTTTATTTAGAGAGAGGAATATTCAGCAAATGCTTTTATGTTACTTTTTTCTTGTTAATGGCCAAATCCTTACTTTCTAAGGAAGATTTTTATTTTTAGAGAAAGAAATTTCTAAAAGTTAGCTGTATTTCTGAATATTAGCTGTTTCAAATATTGTTATATTATGCATAAACAACAATGCAGTTAAGGGAATACCAACATCTGGATGCTTTTTATAGCTGTAGTTCTACTGATTAAAGAATTAAATGAAACCTAAATTTAGTATTTCTGATCTGGGAGTTGAATATCAATTTTTAAATCGTGTATAATACTAAAGTTGCATGTAAAGATTTTTCATCATTGGTTACTGAATTCACCTAATTCTGTCTGTTTGGAGATGTACATTCTGGGCCATGACATAAAGGTTAATAGGGAAAATAGTGAAACACAACCAGTGGTTCTGTAGGCAAGTAAGTTTCATCCTACCTCTAACCGATCTGAGAGAGATAGGCGGGGCCAGGAGAAGGGGAAATAGATTTACTCTTGTGTTGGAAATTGAGCAGCTTGTAATAGTAGAAACCTAAAACCCTACTGCCATATTTATTCATTTATTTATTATTTAATGTGCCATTTGACCATATTTACATTCTTAATTTGGAAAGGAAAATGTTCTGCTTAAAGAGATAGTATATAGTAAATGAGTTGCACACTGTTTTATAAAGTTCATTCTATCTTGCAGCCAAGGATGAGAACCACTATTAGCAAAAGTGTTGAATTTCATTAGAGGATTCATCTTGAGTAGTGTCGAGAGATTTTAGTTAGGCTTTTTATACTGCTTTAAGGCTTTGGTGCGATTTTTAGCTTACGAGCTAATTACTATTTATACCAGTTCTTGTGAATACATATGATTCTCATAAAAAAGAAATGTATTATAATTGCCTTTTAGGAAATTTCTTTCAAAATTGCCTATTAAAATGTTAATATTAACCTTTATTTGTGCATTGACTTAAAAATCACTGGAACTACTAGTTTATTTATAAATCCATTTTGTGGCATTTATACATTTTTAGGATCTTTAAAAGGTAGTTTCTTATACTACTTATTTATTGTGCAACATAGGAGAGAGCAGCTTAGGAATTCCTAAAGTGGGTTCTTAATTTGGAATATTAGAAACGGTACCATATCTTCTAGGCAATCAGAGTGATCAGTTTATGTCATACTGTTTAAAATGCTATCATATAGTTTTTCTTTCCATTTCTGTATATTATGTTTCTGTGAGATTGGGAAACTATGTGTTAGGAAATTGGGCAGTCAAGGATAAATTCTTAATGCTTCATAATGAGAATATCTAAGTAGAAACACAGTATTTCAGATCTTCAACTGTATTTGCCAGTCACTTACCTGTAAGACAGGCATTTGAACATGCAAGAGCTGCCATATCATGACTGGGTGTCATGGCAGCCACTGCCATTTCTTTTACTGTCCTAAGGTCAGATCAAAGCAAGCAGAACCCTCCTTCTCTGAATCTATCATAAACAATTGTGTTAGAGTATGGTGAACCAGTGACTTGGAAATGGTGATTATTTCTAGATGTGCTTTTGTGAAATATATTTCTGAATTATATATTGTAATACAAGAGTCATAATGGTTCTCCCAAGGACAGTTATCCATGTGTTAATATCTTACACTGATGAATTCTCATCAACTAATCAGAAAAATCATGGTTGTCCACTTTTAAAAAATATATAGAATACAGTCCTGTAAGTGAAGGTTTATGTTTTGTTATACTGGAAGAGAAAATTTTAGGTGAAACCATATCTTTCTTTTTGATGACGTTATTTTGGTAGGACCAGATGGATCATACTTCTTCAGGTCATCATCCAAACAAAAAAAGAAAGGTAGTAGAGAGTGAATTTTGTAGTGCATCTGTTTTTATTAAGTAATTTAATGCTGCAAAAGCAAAAATGGAATGTATTGGAATATCAGAGTAATATTGTTTTAAGGACATGGAGATTTTAATCTAAATTTTAAAAGTAAATATAAATGAAAAGTTACTTTCATATGTGTTGTACAATGAAAATTTGTTAAAGTTGTCTTAAACTTCTGTGTTAACATTCTGAATCTGCATATGTTCATATGCACTTTATATTTTTTGTACTTGCTCTGCTTTCATGTTCAGCAGAACTTTTCAAACAACTTATCTACTATAGAATATCTATATTAACTGAAAGAAATAGTTTTGCAAAAAAAATAGGTTGTTGGGAGAGCTAAGGTATATCTATATGCTAGATGTTAATGCCTTAAGGGTCTTTGGGTTTGACCTTGTTTAACCCTTTTATTTTACAGTAAGGGTGCTGAGGCCCAGGGCATTAAGTGTCTTGTCCAAATTTTGTTTCCTACTTAGTGACGGAGCCAAAGCTGGAAGAAAAAACCTGATCATTCCCCCTTAAAGTTATTTTTCATCATAGCATTCTGTTTGGAAGAAATAGGGCAACTCTTAATTTACAAATAAGTAAGTTGCTTGATTAGAAAGTAACAAATAGTGCTCACTTTGGCAGCACATATACTAAAATTGGAATGCTACAGAGATTAGCGTGTCCTTTGTAGGGATGGCATGCAAATTCATCAAGTAATCCATATTTTTTAAAAATACAAATTTTAAAAAGAGACTAACAAATACCAAATATTGCCCACATAAATTTTATATTTTAATGTTTTTTTTTTTTTTTTTTTGGTTTTGCAGCATTTCAGAAAAGAAAATTAAAGGTTTCTTTTTGCTTTTTAAGTAGTTTGGTGCAATAACGTTCTACCTGACTTTCTTATTTTTCCTATCAACTTATATTTCTGAGACTAAGTATCACATTTGTGTGTTCTGTAGCTGTGCGAAAACTGTTAATACTTAATGGCAAGCTGTGTGATTGAATCATGGTTTAAATCTCCCCAGCATTGTCCCAGTTTGGATATTGTGAAAGGAGATGTTCCTTGTAGAGCCTATTATTTTAATAATGTAGTCTAACACATATAATACAGTATCTATGACAATATTTGTAATTATATTTTTATATCAGTGCAGTAACAGATAAAATTTATAAGCCAGTTGTAATCTATTTGTCAAACAGTAGGTCCCTAACTGATTAAAAAAAAAAAAGCCATTAGATAAAATAACTTTTTTTCTTACAATATTTATAATCTTGTTAACCTTTGGAATTCTAAAAATGTATAGTGGATCAAATTGTTCTTGCCTATTATTTAGAATTTCTTGTGGTTTTTAGATTTACTGTAAATAATGAGTGTTTTCAGATACACCACACAATGGTGACTTGTCAACTACTGTATTTATATGTGAGATAGACTAGTTTTAGAGATAGCCACATGATACCAGTATATGAACATCAGTCTCTTAGAAGACAAATAATGGCTTTTTCAATTTCTCTTTCAGAACAAAGGAAGAATTATGCACGGGACAGTGTCAGCAGTGTGTCAGATATATCTCAATACCGTGTTGAAGTAAGATGCTTTGGCCTTTGCTAGTGTTTAGAGTGACCCTTGAGGAACATAAAAATTGGAAGTTAAATCAGAATTATGCTTTATTTCATTTTTATGATGTCTTTTAAGTTTCACTGACGTTTTTGTTTAGATTTTTTAAAACAGATGTTTCATGGTCTGTTTTCATAAAGAATGATTTAAAATCATAACTGCTACTCATTTATCATTGCCTCTCATTTCATTTAAAATAGGATAAGGGCTTCTACTTTGTACTATAGAATCTTCTTGAAATTAAACCTTTGATAGTTTCAGTGAACAGTTTAGTTTTTAGTGTAACTAAAATTATTACTAGTTCTAGTTAAATAACAGTTTCTTTTTTAGTTTTTGCTCTGCTATCTTTTAAAATATTTGCTCTTGGCCGGGCGCGGTGGCTCAAGCCTGTAATCCCAGCACTTTGGTAGGCCGAGGCGGGTGGATCACAAGGTCAAGAGATCAAGACCATCCTGGTCAACATGGTGAAACCCCATCTCTACTAAAAATACAAAACATTAGCTGGGCATGGTGGCGCGTGCCTGTAATCCCAGCTAATCAGGAGGTTGAGGCAGGAGAATTGCTTGAACCCAGGAGGCGGAGGTTGCGGTGAGCCGAGATCGTGCCATTGCACTCCAGCCTGGGTAACAAGAGCAAAACTCCGTCTCAAAAAAAAAAAAAAAGATATTTGCTCTTGACTGGAATCTCACTAAATAACCTCTGCTTATAATAGAAAATATTTAAGCAGGGAAGTAATTTTTAAATTGCTCTTATTTTCAGTTTTCTACCTACCTCAAGTATGCTTGATTAAATTTAAACAGTTTTGTTTCAGTAAGTAGTTTTAGTGGATTGAATAGTTTGACAGTTGCTATAGACTAGAATTATACTGTTGCAACAATCAGTGTCCATAGTTTTAAAGCTGTCATACAGATAGCCTGCTGTTTAAATGCTGCTGTGTTCAGCATTAAAATAACCATAATAGGCTATAAAAAAGGGGAAAAGTGTATTTTAAGGGAGTATTATTTAAGCTGTTTAGAATTTGTTTTTATGTATTGTTTATGTAGTTCAACATGTTTCAATATGAAACAGATTTAGGTGTCTTATGAGTCAAAATGCCATTTCTTCTATTCAACAAAAACCAGTTTGGCTTTATTTTCTCAATAAGATAGTTATGAAGTTTTAAGAGTACTTTGTGTTTGTCCTTCTCTGCTAGCCGACCTCAGGTTAATTTGATTTTCTTTTGGAAAATGTGTGCTAAGAGGTTGTATGTGTTTGTGTTATAAATCTTTTTCCTTTTTGCGAATCATAAGCACTTGACTACCTTTGTCCTGGATCGGAAAGATGCTATGATCACTGTGGACGATGGAATAAGGAAGCTGAAATTGCTTGATGCCAAGGGCAAAGTATGGACTCAAGATATGATTCTTCAAGTAGATGACAGAGCTGTGAGCCTGATTGATTTAGAATCAAAGGCAAGTTTGTAAAATATATACTATTTTATTTTTAAGACAGCCTCACAAATGTTAATGTTTATAATCAGGTCAGATTGTTTGAAAATGGGTTGAAATTTGACAAAATAAAATATTTACTTTATTTGTAGAATGAACTGGAGAATTTTCCTCTAAACACAATCCAGCACTGCCAAGCTGTGATGCACTCATGCAGCTATGATTCAATTCTTGCCCTGGTATGCAAAGAGCCAACCCAGAACAAGCCAGATCTTCATCTCTTCCAATGTGATGAGGTTAAGGTAAAAGAATGGCGAACTTTTTTTTACCTCTTTAAGCAGATGTTCTGGCAGCTTTTGAATTACCTATTTTGATAATATATCTGGATATTAGGGACTAGATTTTTAGTTTCTGAGAAACTCATAACGAAAACAAATACCTTAGTATCTTCCTTAGGATTTCCGTGGCAGGTAAATAAAGAAATTAGGGTGATATTAATAAAATCAGGGGCAAGCACAGTGGCTCACGCTTATAATCCCAGTGCTTTGGGAGGCCAAGGCTGTAAGGTGGCTTGCAGCCAGGATTTCAAGCCCAGCCTGGACAACATAGCGGGACCCAGTCTCTACTAAAAAGGTTTTAAAAATTAGCCAGATGTGGTTGTACATACTTGTAGTCTCACCTACTCAGGTGACTGAGGGAAGAAGATCTCTTGAACCCAGAGTTGAAGATTACAGTGAGCGATGATCACCCCTCTGCACTCCAGCCTGGGCAACAGAATGAGACTGTGTCTCTTAAAAATAAGATGCATTCTGTTTATTTTTTAAAAGTAGATAATATATTCAATTCACATCAAGTGCCTTATAATTAAAAATTGATTGTTCAGAAATCATGCTTTGTAGACAATAAATAATCATGCAATCCTAATTTATTCTGCACTAATGACATAGCATGGATTACTGCAATGAAGCACTTAGACATTTCCCACGATATTGATTTAAAGTTCACCATTTAATTATGTGGCTTGAATCATTGCTCAAGATTTGTAATTCCCAAATGATATGTGAAAATAGTTGAACCAGTAATAACAGGCTAGCTCCTGAAAGTTTCTACTTGAAAGTACAGTGTAATTTCAAATGATTATAATTTGTGATGCTTTATTGGACCTTAGAAGTTATCTTCAACCTTGAATGTGTTTATTTCCTGAGTTGTTTTCTTTGAAAGAGAAATCATTTTATGTTAATTTGTACTTTGCCAAAGCAGTCATTTAACATTTTGATGATATATTATAAAATATCCATGTAATTTTATTTTATAAAGAAATTCTAGGAGATTAGGACAGTCACTTGATCTTTTCTATATTTTTGACATTTAAACATGATAAAGTAAGATTGACTGTAAACAGTGTATTTTATAATTTTCTTCTAATTTCGATTTACATCATAGATGACTCTCTAAAAATATTCTTTGAAAAGAACTGACATTTAGGTAATTTGAGTAAGTGATATTCATCAGATTTTTGTATAGTGCCTTTTGAAAGTCATAAGTATATTATAATTTTTGAAAGGTTAGATATAATCAACGAATATTAAAGGGAGTATTTTGCTTTGATATATAGTGAAATTTAATTCAAACATTTTATAAACCAGAGGCCTAAGTTAAAACACATTTCAAATTTGATGTTTGTGTTTGTGCTCTAAAAAGCCCCCTGGGAGCTAAGAGTTACTATGCTGTGTAAAGTTTCTGGATTTTAAGTTTGGGAACAAAGGGCTTGCTTTATTTGATATGGAATGGTAATGGTAATGGATTCAAAATGGATTTACTGAATATAGTTTTGTCCTAACCCCAAAAGCTCACATACCACTAAGCACTATATGCATTTACTCATTAGTTTCATACTCCACATATGAGACATTTTTCCCTTGGCTGGTTAAAAATATAAAGGCAATGAAAAATACAGTTTCTTTTATATAACTCATTGTACAATATTGCTTTTGATTTTTAAAGTTTCTTTTTATAGGACTTCATACAATGCTTCTGCCCACCTTTGCAGTAAAATTTTTCTTAGAAATATAGTAGCCCCAGTATATGAAGTTGAAGATTCCCAGGCATCTTCAGTTTTTGTTTTGGGGTTATTTAAAAAAATTTTAGTTACATATTTTTTTCATCTTTAGTTTCAGTATCCTATGTAACAGAAAGCCTTTGACATGATGTTTGTATTGTCTTATTGAGACTAAATGCTCTTAGGAAGTCACACTGGAGTGGCATGCATTGGCACTCTCATTTAATTAGCAATGTGACCCTGGCCAGGCCCATTCATAGAAGGACTCCTCAGTTTTATTAACTGGAAGGAACTGATGAGATACTCTTTTAAGTATCCAATCATTTCTCAAATTTTATGATTATCAATGTTTACTGTAAAAGAAATACAACATACGTATTTGAGAAAACATAATTATAGGGAACAAAGAGGCACAAACATAGATGGTACATCTCATCAATAATCTAAGATAGAGTGATAATTCCTGGCTCTAAACAAACTTTGCAACCAAACAAAAACTCCTTATCTCCTAATCTCACGTTGATCCTCAAGAAAAACCCAATTGAATGTTCTTGTTGGAAAAATTGTTTGCAGAAAGTTAACTTTTACCTGAAGTCACAAAATAAAGGATTATTTAAAGAG